GACAGCGTGAATTCGGTGCTGTTTGGATCCAAGGGGCTCACACATGGGAGGAGAATACACAGAGACAGAAATGATATATCGCCACGATAGGAGATGACAAGGAGATGAGAGCAGTACTAGGCGAGAAGTCGAAAGGGCGGGGAAGGAAGCGCTACACTGACCATGAGGGTGATAGCAAAAGCCACGTGTAGATAGGAAAAGCCACGTTTCAAAAGGAAGGAAGCGCTACACTGACCATGAGGGTGATAGCAAAAACAGGGCTTTGTGGTGGTCGAGGGAACGGAAAGAGGGGGGGGAAGCACTGACCATGAGGGTGATAGCACAGATGGGGTCTTGGGGAATCAGCCTGGCTTTGTACAGTGCCTGAGAAGCAAAGGGGAGGGGGGAAAGGGGAGGGCGAGTAGGGGGTGACGACGCTTGAATCGACTCAAAAGGCACAGATGGGGTCTTGTGGGGTCTTTGTGTATACGCCACAGCCCAACCCAATAGCAATACACCCAAGCCTCCCCCTCTCTTGCATCTTTCCCCTCCTTCCCCTGCAGTACGCCATTACCATGCTCCCAATCACAGTGTGAATCACAGCCTTCCTACAGCAACCCACAAGCCTTATTAACATACTCCCATCTCCCTCGCTTTCAACCCTCTCCCTCTCTTGCATCCCTCCCCTATCCTCCGTCCCCAGCAGTACGCCATATCCATGCTCCCAATCACAGTGTGGATCACAGTCTTCCTACTGCAACCCACATGCTGTTCAACCCCACCCTCCCCCCATGCCTCCCTCTCCCCCGCTACACCTCCCCTCCGTCCCCTGCAGTACGCCATATCCATGCTCCCAATCACAGTGTGGATCACAGTCTTCCTCTCACGCCTCAACATGGCCATATGAAAGCGGCAGCATAACCGTCTCAAGGCACGAGGGCAGGCACGAGCACTTCTCAGGTGTCTGCCTCCACACGTGTCTTCCTCTCACACCTGAACATCACTACTTTGAGACGACTCAAGGTCACTATTGAGTCGACTCCGAAGTCACAAGCAGTTCTCAGGTGCCTCCACACGTGTCTTCCTCTCACACCTGCACATCAGTACCACCTTGAGACGTCTCAAGGTAGACGGGGTGACTCTCAAGCCGTCTGGGTTGCACAAGGAGGTTCTTTCGCGTGTGATGAGGCGATTTTCGAGTCGACTAAAAAATCGCCTCTCAAGCCGTCTGGGTAGCACAAGGTGGTTCTTTCTTTCTCTATTTCCTCAACATGACCAAACGAAGGCGTCAGCACACCCAACTGGGGACAAGAGAGCTCGAGCATTCTTCGAGAGCTTCAAAATCAAAAGCCGCCTCCGCTCACGCTTCAACATGGCCATCTGGAGACGCGGCACGTCAACACTTGACGGAGGAGCGTTATTTATGTGAGAGTGACACAACAGCATACACGCGTACATGATGCGCTTTCCATGCCTCAGCTTCGTTGTTCGAAGCATACTGGTTACGCGTAGCTTCAAATAAGATAGTTAGCTGTTCAGAGTGTAAAAATAACCAGGAAATCTCATTACACTTCCATAGCTCCTCTAGTCGCACAACCTTAGCAGAGAACACACTACCAGACCAGACCACAATACAATGTTGCTCGCTGCAGCAGCAGCGACCGGAGAAGAACTGGAAGCGGAAGCAGAACCTGAAATTCTGAAGGACACTCAATAGCAGCCATTCAGCAACACCTTAGTCAATAACAAATCCTTGGATGTCTCAACTTTACGACATATCCTCTTAACATCATTCACTCAGTATATTATGTATATTATAGACATAAGCGAATAGGTATACACTAGCTTAGATTTTGCAAACTCGCACCCGCTGACTGCAATTTCAACTGCAATCCTCATGTGTTTTCTGCTGTGCGCTGACCCAGCCAGACACAGCTCCAAACCAGTCGAAGAATTTCAACACCAGGCCCTTCCTCACCAGACCAGTCACAGTACCGAGCCGCTAAGCTCTCACCGCCAAGCCCCAAACCAAACAATACGAGCCAAACCAGACAAAGGGAACACAACCATACCATACCATACCAGACCTCATGTCTCTCACGATTCGCGACTGGCTCCACCAAGTTGTTGACGAGTCTCCTCGCGTCTCGGGAATTATATTTCGTCAGTCAACGCCCGATCGACTCGAGGATGGATTGTGAGAAAGCTGTTGCCTATAAGTTGCTCCCTCAGTTCAACCTCTTGCCATCTCAAACTTTCTGCTCTGCTTTCTCCCATCCATCCAACGTCTATCGATCTCGCCTCAATACCAATTCACTTCACGATTCCGAAAGCCATGGCAGCCAGGGGATATATTTTCGTATGCATTGCGCTCCTCCTTGCGACTTCCGCGGCCGCGCAGCGTGGACCGCCTGGCGGAGGCCCTCCCGGAGGCCAGCAGTCCGGAGGGGCGCGCGGAGGACCTGGCGGACCCGGGTCTGGCGGGCCTGGCGGGCCTGGTGGGCCTGCTGGTCCGCGCGGTCCTCCGTTCAACTTGACGGTCGTCGGAAATCTGACGGCGGACGTCGGCGCGCGATTGGCCAATTGCTCCGCAGACGAAACCTTTCTCGACGGCCGCTTTCACCTCGCCATCTTTAAGTGAGCTTCGATGTTACCGTAACCCTAACTTTCGCGGGCCTCCTTTCGTCGGATTTTCTCGTTCATTTAGCTTCAGCGTCGCAAATTCTTCTCCTCTTGGTTGCAGATATTACAATTTCGATGCGCTTCGTGAAACTGATTCGTTCTTCTGTTCCCTTCCCCCTCCGCCAGGAACGCGAGCGGCAACTACAACCTGGCGGTCGACGCGCTGCTCGTGGGCGCCACGGGTGGGCCGCCCGACTCCCTCGCGATCGTGAAGGGCGCCGTCTGCGACTCTTCCGCCTCCGCCGCCGCGATCCTCGCGATTCCGCTGGCGGAGTCCGACTGGCAGCAGCGCGAAGGCTGGTGGCTGCTGCACGCGGAGGCGCGGCTCGACGCGTTTCTCGAGAACGCGGACGCCGCCACCGTCGAAGCGCTCCTCGCGCTCCTCCCTAACGCGACGCTCCCGGCGGCGCGCGGCGGCGGCGGACGTGGAGGGAGCTCGGGCGGCACGCGGAGCGGGCAGGGCAGCAGGCGCATGGGGAGGGAGCTGCTGATGCGCGCAGCGGGGCGCGTCACCGGCGCCAGGCAGGGGGGGCAGCAGCAGGGGGCGCCACGGCAGCCGCCTGCAGGTGGTTCCTCAGGTGGATACCCAGGCGCTGGGGGCGCGGGGGGGATGATGGGGGGTGGCGGGGTGAACGCGACTGTGAGTGGGTATGCCGTGCTGGCCACTGCCACTGCGGGGGGTGTGGCGTGGGGCGGCCAGCTCATGGGCGTCAAACTGCCCTCCGCCGCTGCCTGATGTGATGGCGGTGCTGCTGGCGGCTTTGCGCTGCCACTCGGGGGGGGGGGGGGGGAGGGAGGGGGAGAGGGGGGGAGGGGGGGGGGAGGGGGGGGGTGTGGCGTGGGGCAGCCAGCTCATGGGCGTCAAACTGCCCTCCGCCGCTGCCTGATGCGTTGCTGCTGCCGTCGCTGCTGCTGCTGCTGCTGCCGTCGCTGCTGCTGCCGTTGCCGCTGCTGCTGCCGTCGCTGCTGCTGCCGTTGCCGCTGCTGCTGCCGTCGCTGCTGCTGCCGTTGCCGCTGCTGCTGCCGTCCCTGCCGCCGCTGCTGCTGCCGTCCCCGCCGCCGCTGCTGCCACGGCTGTTGCTGCTGATGGTGGCGGTGTTCCATTGTGGTTCCGTTCCTTGCTGGGGATGGAGTAGCAGATCCCAATTCAGGGTTCTTTTAGCTTGGAGTTTTGTTATGGGGTGTTTTTGTTAGGAATGAGCATCAGGGGCAGGAATGCTGGCAAGACACCAGGCTAGATTTCACCAGCTGACTTGCCAGTCTTCCTGCCGTTGCCTTTGCTTACCGTATTATATCTGCGTAATGTAATATTGCTTTGAATATGTTCTTTCAGGAGTAACCGTGTGGTGTGTTTGTATTAGGAGGAATGAGCATCCAAGGCGGGAATGCTGGGAAGGTACTGGGTTTGTTTCCACCAGCTGACGTGCCAATCTTCCTGCCCTTGCCTTTGCTCATTTGTCCACAGATTTACCTTCTCCTTTTAATGATGCTCATGTGTTCAGATCATGTGTTCAGTAGTCTACACTGTTTAGCACTGTACACATTCGCACAATGCTGAAATCTGTGAGCCTGGTTCTACCCAATGCTGATGAAGAATCTCGTCAATACCAAACGCTTCACCCACCAAGGGATGTGAAGGTAATATGTAGCTATTTTATGACCAATGTTCCATCTTGAAAATAACATAAATATGAATAATTATCTCCCTTTTTCCTCATCTTGTAAATTGTGTACGAGAGGCCTCTTTTGTGATGCTTGCTCACAGGAGTGTACCCTGAGGCTGGATGTTTCGTGATTCTCCATCATGTTTGCACTTCTCGTGTCTTCATATGGCCATGTTGAGTCGCGAGAGGAAGACTGTGATCCACACTGTGATTGGGAGCATGGCAATGGCGTACTGCAGGGGGAAGGGTTGCAAGAGAGGGGGAGAGGTAGGGGAGGTGGGGGGTTTTGCAAGAGAGGAGGAGAGGGAGGGGAGATGGGGGGTTTTGCAAGAGAGGGGGAGAGGTGGAAGTTAGGTGGAGGAGACTGTGATCCACACTGTGATGGGGAGCATGGCAATGGCATACTGCAGGGGAAGGAGGGGAGAGGTAGTGGGGGAGTAGAGGTTTGGGAGGCTTGAGAGTTGCAGTAGGAAGACTGTGATCCACACTGTGATTACAGTGGAAATGGCAATGGCATACTGCAGGGGAAGAAGGGGAGGGATGCAAGAGAGGGGGAGAGGTGGAAGTTAGGTGGAGGAGACTGTGATCCACACTGTGATGGGGAGCATGGGAATGGCATACTTACATGAGTGAGCACAAAACTTACAGCCCAGCCGTCCCCCCTTTTTCTCCCACCTGTCGTAGCATGAGTGAGGCCAGCATTCCCGCCAGAGGCTTGGTGGCGGGGCTGAGCTGCGCCATGAGCACGAGATTCTGTGCCGACGGCATGGCGGTTTGGATCTGATGGGGAGAGGAGGGCCGTGAGGAGAGGGGAGAAAAGGGTGTAGGGTTTCTGATTTAAGGTAGAAAATGAATTGCACCATGAGCACGAGATTCTATACCGACGGCATGGCGGTTTGGATCTGATGGGGAGAGGGGGGCCGTGAGGAGGAGATAGGAGAGAGGAGGAGAGATGAGGAGAGATGAGGAGAGATGAGGAGAGATGAGGAGAGATGAGGAGAGATGAGGAGAGATGAGGAGAGATGAGGAGAGATGAGGAGAGATGAGGAGAAAGGAGGAGAGATGAGGAGAAAGGAGGAGAGATGAGGAGCGAGGAGGACATGAGCATGAGATTCCGAGCTGATGGCATGGATCTGTGGGGAGAGGGGCGAGAGGAGGGTTCAGGTGTAGTGGAGAGATGAGGGTTCAGGGTTTCGGGCCGAGCTGCGCCATGAGCACATGATTCTTCTGAGCCGATGGCATGGCGGTTTGGATCTGAGGGGAGAGGGGTGAGAGGAGGAGATAGGAGAGAGGGGTGAGGGGAGAGGAAGAGAAATTCTGGAGATTTGAGGTGAGCATTCCAGAATGTGAGGGGAGATGAGGAAAGATGAGGAGAGACGAGGAGAGATGAGGAGAGATGAGGAGAGATGAAAACATGAGGATGAGATTCTATGGTGGTGGCATAAAGGAGTTGGTTACACGTGAATCACAGACGGGAGCAGGTTGCACTGGAATCGATACAAGACGATGACTTACAGCTTAACAAGGCTAGTAGTAGAAGATGAGGTGAATAGAAGAAGATGACAAAACGATGTGGGTGGGCAACACGCGGAGAGAAGGGCGACGGGGTGTGGGAGGGCGAGTTCTGAGGCGCCTCAAAATTGGGTGTGGGAGGGCGAGATGGTTTTTGAGAATTCTAGTTTTGAAGCGCCTCAAAACGGGGAGTGGGAGGGCTAGTTTTGAGGCGCCTCAAAACGGGGTGTGGGAGGGCTAGTTTTGAGGCGCCTCAAAACAGGGTGTGGGAGGGCGAGATGGTTTTTGAGAATTCTCAGAAGGGCGAAGGGGTGTGGGAGGGAGAGATACACTGCACTGACCATGAGAGTCTGTTTTCTGAGAATTCTCAAAAAACGGGTGTGGGAGGGAGAGTCAAACTGACCATGAGAGTCATACTGACCATGAGAGTGAGTGCACAGATGGGGTCTTGGGGAATCAACTTGGCGTTGTATAGTGCCTGTGAAGCAAAGGGGAGGGCGGAAAGGGGAGGGCGGAAAGGGGAGGGCGAGTAGGGGGTGATGACGTTTGAATCGACTCAAAAGTAACAGATGGGGTCTTGGGGAATCAGCTTGGCGTTGTATAGCGCCTGAGATGCACGGGAGGGCGGAAAGGGGAGGGCGATTAGGAGGTGCCGTTTGAATCGACTCAAAAATCACAGATGAGGCCTTGTGGGATCAATTTGGCATTGTTTAGTGCCTGAGACGCAAGGGGAGGGCGGAAATTGGGAGGGCGGGAAGGGGAGGGCGGAAAGTGGGAGGGCGGGAAGGGGAGGGCGGGAAGGGGAGGGCGGGAAGTGGGAGGGCGGGAAGGGGAGGGAGGAAAGGGGAGCATGGAAAGTGGAGGGCGGAAAGGGGGGTGCAGAAAGAGGAGATTGTCAAGGGGAAGGGTGGAAGTGAGAGGGACGAGTAGGAGAGGGTGGAAGGGAGGGAGTGGGAGAAAAAGGGAGGGGTTTGAAGAGAGAGGGAGGCCAAGGAGAGGGTTGAAAGGGAAAAGGTGAAAGAGATAGGGAGGCAGAGGAGACGACGGAAAGAGAGAGGGAGGATGATGAGAGGATGGAAAGATAGGGAGCGGGAGAGAGAGGAAGGAGAAGGAGAGGGTGGAAAAGGAGGGAGTAGAAGAGAGAGAGAGAGAGAGGACGAGAAGAGGACGGAAAGAGAGGGCTTGGAAGTGAGCGGGAGGAAGAGGAGAGGATGGAAAGCGAGGGAGGAGTGGAGAGGAGAGGACGGAAAGAGAGGGGTTGGAAAAGGAGAGGGAGGAAGAGTAGAGGGAGGAGGAGAGAGGGAGGAAGCATGGGCAGGGAAGGGACCTCCCCTCTCCTCTATTTCGAAAGCTAAGGACTACGTGCCTCACCGTGACTGCGACGGTGCCAAGCATGGGCAGCAGCAGCAGCAGCAGCAGCAGCAGCAGCAGCAGCAGCAGGCGCACAGAGCGGAGAGGAAGAAAGGGGAGAGGATGGAGGGTGAGAGCATGGAATGGGGGATGGAGGAAGGGGACAAAACTCACCGTGACTGCGACGGTCCCAAGCATGGGCAGCAGCAGCAGGCGCACAGCACACACCACCCAGAGCGCCCTATCATCTTGCAAGGAGGGCAGCGCAGCAGCGGAGGAGGAGGGAGAAGAAGCAGAAGAAGCAGAGGACAAAGCAGACGAAGAAAGTGTAGTGGCTGCTGCTTCACTCGCAATGCTGCCACCCCCACCTCCACCTAACCCACCAGCACCACTCGTAACTCCTCCACTCTGACCACCCCCACCCCCACCACTTCCTCCTCCCCCTCCACTCCCACCATCAGCAGCAGCAGCACTGGCATCAGGTGCAGCGACAGCAGCAGAGGGGAGTGGCTCCACTAGTGTTTCTCTCATGCCCGGGGTGGTAAGGGCTGGCAGAGGAGGGGTGGAGGAGGAGGAGGAGGGTTTGGGCCAGGAGAGGGAGATGCGGGAGGGGATGGAGGAGGCGAGAGAGGAGGCGAGCACGACTGTTTGCACTGCCACACAGGCTGACCCGAGAATGGCTGCTGCCTGGAAATGAGAGGAAGGGGGACAAGGGAAGGGAAGGGAAGGGAAGGGAAGGGAAGGGAAGGGAAGGGAAGGGAAGGGAAGGGAAGGGAAGGGAAGGGAAGGGAAGGGAAGGTTGGCACAGACGAGGAAAGACAGAGGAGGCACGGGAAGAGGAGGCGAGCAGTGCTACCTTCTTGCACGGCCACACAGGGTGATCCAAGAATGAGTCTTAAGGCCCACCTCCAACCTGAATTTGAGTCACCTCAAGCTCAACCTCACCTGTATCTCGCATGCCTTGCCTCACCTACCCCCCTCACCTCCATGACGCATGCCTTGCCTCACCTACCCCCCTCACCTCCATGACGCATGCCTTGCCTCACCTTCCTTTCACTGCCCCCCTCACCTCCATGAGGCCGTGCAGGATGCCGGCAGTGGCAGGGCTGAAGAGCCTCTTAAGAGCCTCAGGGCCTGCCACTGCGGGCATCACAGCTCACTGGTACTATGCTTTGAGGATCTGCTCACCTTTGAGTCGAATCAAAAGTCACTTTGTCCAAGGATCTGCTCGCCTTTGAGTCGACTCAAAAGTCACTTTGTCCGAGGATCTGCTCACCTCCATGTCGCAAGCCTCTCCTCCTCTCATCACTCACCTCCATGCCGCAAGCCTATGATATCACAATCTTCGCAAACTTCACGCCTTATATCACTCACCTCCATGAGGCCGTGCAAGATGCCAGCAGTGGCAGGGCTGAAGAGCCACGAGGAGGCTGGGAGGGAGGAGGCAGCAGCAGCAGAGGAGGAGGAGGAGGCGGGGAGGAAGAAGTGACCGAGTGGTGTGGCTCCTATTAGCAGACCTGCTAGCACCTGATGGGTGGCCGAGGAGGATTGGGAATGGGGGGAGTCGGGGGGTGGGGGGACTAGGGGATGAGGCTGTAAGGAGATGGGGGGAAGGAATGGGCGGGAGGGGTGGCTCCTATTTTTTTTATTAGACCTTCTAGCGGCTGATGAGGGGATGAGGGGGATGGGGAGAGTGGGAGACGAAATCAAGTGCATCAGATGAGCGCGCCTGATTGGAGCAATTGGATTATTGGACCGATAGGAGGGGCATGCATTTGAACAAGATCCGTGGAATGTAAAAGGGAAACCACCCCAAGATTGGAAGTTGCTTTACGAATCCACTCCATAAATGGGAATCTACCCCATAAATGGGAACCCAACTTGAAGGAACCCACCCCCACCCAATAGATAGGAAACCACCCCATAAATAGAAACTCACCCCACAAATAGGAACCTACCCCATATTTGGGAACCCATCTAATATAGGAACCCAGTCCATCTGTCTGTTCTCAACAGTCCACATTCGCCTGACGCCCACAGATGGCAATGCTACAAAGAAAACCACCCCATAAATAGGTGAATCGGCCAGTACTGGGTTGTAGATTACATACTAACTTGAAACAATAGAGTTTCGAACAAGGGGGTGTAGCTCACATGGTAGAGCGATCGCTTCGCATGCGATAGGTAAGGGGATCGATACCCCTCACCTCCACCTTGATTGTCTACCGCGTTTTTACGACTTGAGATTGTGCCTTTCACGAAGTGACTATCAGCAACTCGATATTCCAACCAGAACCAGCTTCTATTGCCAGCTGCTCGACCTTTGAGACGCCTTAAAAGTCGCAGAGTGACTAGACGCACCTCGATATTCCAACCAGGGCCTACTCTACTCCCCTGGCGCGTGATACGGTGCTTCTACTGCTTTTGAGGCGCCTCAAAAGGCGCGTGCTACGGTGCTTCTACTGCTTTTGAGGCGCCTCAAAAGGCGCGTGCTACGGTGCTTCTATTGCTTTTGAGGCGCCTCAAAAGGCGCGTGCTACGGTGCTTCTACTGCTTTTGAGGCGCCTCAAAAGGCGCGTGCTACGGTGCTTCTATTGCTTTTGAGGCGCCTCAAAAGGCGCGTGCTACGGTGCTTCTATTGCTTTTGAGGCGCCTCAAAAGGCGCGTGCTACGGTGCTTCTATTGCTTTTGAGGCGCCTCAAAAGGCGCGTGCTACGGTGCTTCTACTGCTTACTCGCTGCTCGGCCGTATGGCTCATCGCCACGTCTCTGTGTCTTGACCTACCGTCGCTGCCATTCATGTAGTAAGTAGACGACTTTTGAGACGTCTCAAAAGCTGCCATTCATGTAGTAAGTCTTCTGAGACCCTGTCTTCTGAGACCCTGTCTTCTGAGACCCTGTCTTCTGAGACCCTGTCTTCTGAGACCCTGTCTTCTGAGACCCTGTCAATTCTGGTATGTGGCTCCTCTCCTGATCTGAAATGAGAGTGTTTTTGGGTTTTGCCACGTCTCAAAAACACTCTCATTTCACATGGCTATTCATGTGGTCGCCTTCTGCGATCCTGTCCATTCTGGGATGTGGCTGTGTCCTCCTCTTCTGGGTTGTCTTTTGAGTCGACTCAAAAGTCACCTTGTGTCCTCCTCTTCTGGGTTGTCTTTTGAGTCGACTCAAAAGTCACCTTGTGTCCTCCTCTTCTGGGTTGTCTTTTGAGTCGACTCAAAAGTCACCTTGTGTCCTCCTCTTCTGGGTTGTCTTTTGAGTCGACTCAAAAGTCACCTTGTGTCCTCCTCTTCTGGGTTGTCTTTTGAGTCGACTCAAAAGTCACCTTGTGTCCTCCTCTTCTAGGTTGTCTTTTGAGTCGACTCAAAAGTCACCTTGTGTCCTCCTCTTCTGGGTTGTCTTTTGAGTCGACTCAAAAGTCACCTTGTGTCCTCCTCTTCTGGGTTGTCTTTTGAGTCGACTCAAAATTAGAAACTCACCCCATAAATAGGCTGGTTGAGCACTTTCTTGGCCATCTCCATCACACGGCTTGCAGCACGTTCAAACCCCGTAAGTCCCACCAATTCCATTATTAGAAACTCACCCCATAAATAGAAACTCACCCCATAAATATAATCTCACCCCATAAATAGGCGGGTTGAGCACTTTCTTTGCCATCTCCATCACACGGCTTGCAGCACGTTCAAACCCCGTCATTCCCATCGCTGCTGCAGCCGCTGCTGTTGCTTCCATCTTTGCTGCTGCACTCCCCTCTACCCCCTCCTCGTCACCCTCTTCCTGTGCATTACTCCCCCCTCTGAACATGCTGTAACCTAGGGTCCAGAAGGCAGTCGATCCGCTGCAAGGGGTTGAGGGGGGTAGGGAGTGGTATTTAAAGCAATGGGAAAGGAGGGAAGGAGGGGAAGCATTGGCGATGGCCTCTGAACATGCTGTACCCCAGGGTCCAGAAGGCAGTCGATCTGCTGGACGAGTGGACGGGGGGAAGGGTGGGGGAGAAAGAGGGGACACAAGGGAGGATGCGAAGGGGGGAGCATGTGCCTGTTACTCTTGAGAATTCTCAAAAGTAAAATTCCCTTTGAACATGCTGTAACCCAGAGTCCAGAAGGCCATCGTTCCGCCGGAAGAATGGAGAAGAAAGAGGAGGGGGGGAGAGAAAGAGGGGACAAAAGGGAGGATGCAAAGAGGGCTGCATATCCCTCTTACACTCTACCATAGATGGGTACCTGGCGCTTTTAGACTGCCTTCTGAACCCTGGGTTACCCTCCCCTTCTGAACATGCAGTAACCCAGGGTTCAGAAGGCAGTCTAAAAGCGCCAGGTACCCATCTATGGTAGAGTGCTATTGTACCCAACACAGCAAGGTGTAAAGGTATACTCACCCAACCGTGACGAATGCAAGGTAACCAGCAGCCCTGTCAGCAAGGGTGGGTATAATGCAGTGTTACCCAACCATTAAAATTGTACTCACCCAACCATGAAGAGTGCGAGGTACCCAGCAGCCCTGTCAGCATCAGCGCGAGTCAGCAGCGTTGCCAGAAACACAAGAGGCAGAGTGAGCGAGTTTCCAAACGCACATGCTGCCATCACCACCGACTCTTTCCTCCCCGCCGCCCGCTCTGCCGCCCCAACCATCCCAGGTGCAGACAAAACTCCCCGCCCAGGCACCACCTTCTCGCCGCCTGCCGCCCCCTCCTCTCCCCCGTCCCGTTGCGGAAAGGGGAGGCCCGAGAGGAGGGCGGCAGCAGAGGGGGAGAGGCCGATGCTCTGGGCGACGGAGAAGGCGATGTGGCGGGCAGAAGGAGGGGAGGGGAGCGAGGAGGGACGGCGGTAGGCGATGGTGCAGGCTAGCTTGCCTAGCACTAATCCGCACAGGATCTGGAGAAGGGGAAGGGGATGGGTTGGAAGGAGTTTCAAGGAGAAATGGAGAACAAAACTAGTGCAGAGGGGAGCGAGGAGAGCGAGGAGGGCCGGCGGTAGGCGATGGTGCAGGCTAGCTTGCCTAGCGCTAATCCAGAGGATCTGGGTTTAGGGTTGGGTGGGTGGGTGGGGTGGGGAGGGGTTTGGAAAGGGGGGGGGATGGAATGAGTATTCAAGGAAAACAAAAGCGAGAGATGGACGGTGGTAGGCGAGGGTGCAAGCTAGCTTGCCAGGTTGTTGCACAGAGGACCTAGGACGACAGAAGGAAACGAAAATGGGAAAGGAAGGGGAAGGAGGGAGATGGGACGGACAGCCATGCCAAGCCATACGGACAGCCATTTGGACAGGGAGATGGGACGGACAGCCATGCCAAGCCATACGGACAGCCATGCCAAGCCATACGGACAGCCATGCCAAGCCATACGGACAGCCATGCCAAGCCATACGGACAGCCATGCCAAGCCATACGGACAGCCATGCCAAGCCATACGGACAGCCATGCCAAGCCATACGGACAGCCATGCCAAGCCATACGGACAGCCATGCCAAGCCATACGGACAGCCATGCCAAGCCATACGGACAGCCATGCCAAGCCATACGGACAGCCATGCCAAGCCATACGGACAGCCATGCCAAGCCATACGGACAGCCATGCCAAGCCATACGGACAGCCATGCCAAGCCATACGGACAGCCATGCCAAGCCATACGGACAGCCATGCCAAGTCATACCACACCATATGGAAAGGCATACCGAAAGTTATAACATATTGCAGAAGTGCCCGAGGGGAGAGGGGAGGTACATTGGTATGCGAAAGAGCAGGCTAGCTTGCCTAGAGCTCTACTGTACTCCACAGATGACCTGAGAGTGGGGAAGGGTGGGGTGGGTTTACAAGCAGTGCAGAAGTGAGCGAGGTGGTGCGGTGGTACGAGAAAGAGAGCAGGCTAGCTTGCCTAGAGCTGCTACTCTACTCCACAGATGACCTGAGAACAGGGGGGTTTGGGGTGCGGTGCGGTGGAGTGGGGTGCGGTGGAAGGAGTTTCCAAGGAGTACAAAAGCAGTGGAGCCGAGAGTGAGGAGAGGGAGGATGGGTGGTGGTAGGCTAGAGAGAGCAGAATTTGTTTTTTGAGAATTCTCAAAGAACAGATGGTGGTAGGCGAGAGAGCAAGCTAGATTGCCTAGAGCTGCTCCACAGAGGACCCGGGAGGGAGGACAGGGAAGGGGGAGGTGAGAGGGATGGGAGAGGATGCATGGATGGGAGAGGATGCACGGATGGGAATGGGGATGATGCTCTGGAGGTAGTACACACATCAAACCATCATACGCATCATACGCATCATACCCATCATACCCATCATACCCATCATACCCATCATACGCATCATACCCATCATACGCATCATACCCATCATACGCATCATACCCATCATACGCATTATACCCATCATACCCATCATACCCATCATACCCATCATACCCATCATACCCATCATACCCATCATACCCATCATACCCATCATACCCATCATGAGGGTTCTAGGTCCCCCCAACCACGGAATGGGATGAGGCGGGTGGACAGGGAAGGAGCTTGAGATTAGAGTAACGTGGAGTGGAGTGAGGTGGAGTGGAGTGAGGTGGAGTGGGGCGGTGTGGGCTAGTCTGGGGTAGGAGCTTGAATCCGGGAGAATCAAAAGTGGAGTGGGGTGGAGTGGGGTGCAGTGGGCTGGACTGGGGTAGGAGCTTGAGATGAGAGAATCAAAAGTGTGAGTGGGATGGAGTGGGATGAGGTAAAATGGAGAGGATTGGAGTGGAGTGGAGAGGAGAGGAGAGGAGTGGAGAGGAGTGGGGAGGAGTGGGGAGGAGTGGGGAGGAGTGGGAGGAGTGGGGAGGAGTGCAGCGCACCTGAAAGACCGCGAGGAGAGGCAGGAAGGCGAGCGAGGAGAGAGGCTGCACGGAGAGAGTAGAGGCGACTTTGGTCATCATGAAACACGGGATGAGCGCTTGGAAGGCCACCTGGAGGGGTGGAGATCGGTTGAGGGGGGTGAAGACATGAGTGAGACGGCGAGGGGCTGCACGGAGAGAGTAGAGGCGACTTTGGTCATCATGAAACACGGGATGAGCGCTTGGAAGGCCACCTGGAGGGGTGGAGAGCGGTTGAGGGGGGTGAAGACATGAGTGAGACGGCGAGGGGCTGCACGGAGAGAGTAGAGGCGACTTTGGTCATCATGAAACACGGGATGAGCGCTTGGAAGGCCACCTGGAGCGGTGGAGAACGGTTGAGGGGGGTGAAGAGGTGTTAAGGGGGTGAAGAGGAGTTGAGGGGGGTGAAGAGATGAGCAAGATGATGAGGGGCTGCACGGAGCGAGTAGAGGCAACCTTGGTGTTAAGGTGAGGAAGCAAGGGATGACTTTTGAGGCGCCTCAAAAGTCGACCTTGGTGGTGCGGACGCAAGGGATGAGCGCCTAGAAGGCAGGCGGGCGGTGGCATGAAATGGAAGGGCAGCAGAGTGAGCGGGGAGGAGGGGTGGCTGTGAGGAAAGGGTGAGGTGAGCCGTGGACGAAAGGGTAGGCCGAGAGAGGTCAAGAGCTAAGTCCGTACAGCTCCAGAAAAAGCACCTGAAAATGCACCTGAGAAAGCGCCTGTAGGAGCACCTATTGGGACATCTACAGTGATTCGTGTACCAGGACGCACCATGCAGTTCACCTGAAAGCACCGAGCCAGACCAGCACTACATTTTACCTGCCTAGACACCTGAGACGCGCCTGACTATTAACCTGAACCACACCTTGATGGCACACTGAATACACTGAGCTCCACCTGGCAACACCTGAACCTCACGTGACGATACACCTGAACCATACCTGAAGATACACCTGAACCCCACATGACGATACACCTGAGCCGCACCTGACGATACACCTGAACCCCACCTGACTGAGAACCGAAGGCGTGGCTTCAGGAAGGACGTTGGCCTTCATTAGCCACACAATGAAGGCTGGGCGGAGGAGAATGGGAGGGGTGGGGGAAGGAGGGAGGGAGCATGGAGGTGGGGTGAGTGCGATCAGTAGTGGAAGGTGGTGGCTTTAGGAAGCACGTTGGCCACATGATGAAGGCTGTGGGGACGAACATGGAGAGGGGGAACACGATCAGTATTGCGACCAGAATTGCGTCGAGAATTGCGTGCGATGAGAATTGCGACCAAAATAGCGACCAGAATTGCCAAGTGAGGGATCAGCACGAGGCAACATTTGGCGGCGACTCACCGCACATGGCGAAGAGCTTGAACGAGGCTCCCAGGGATGCGCGCAGGACGGGCGTGTTCACGCCACACGCGGCAAGCAACGCTCCCACTGCTCCCGTCGCTGACGATGATGTCACTGCTGCTGCTCCTACCCCTGCCCCTGCCGTTCCCGCTGCTGCTGGCGCAGCCGCAATCCCCCCCGCCACCACTGCAGCTGCTGCAGCCGCAATGACGTGGCTACGGGCGCTAACTGACGGACGGCTAATCCTGTCTGCTGAAGTGGCGCTGACTGACGGACGCCTGACGGACGGGCCATTGGCGGAGGTGTCTTTGCAACGAAGCGCTCCCGCGTTCCCGAGAAACGAACGTCGGAATCTGCTATCCTTGCCGGCAGAGCGTTTTATTAGACGGCTGCTCCTGGGTGTGACGGCGAGACAACTCAGGCTGATTCTGATTGGTCGAGCGGAGACGGCGGAACAGGGAAGAATTCTCTTTGAGATTTCCTTTGTGGCGGAAGGGACACGTGGCGAGGCGTGAATCACTGAACAGGGAGAAGATGTCCGAGTGCAGGTTCCCGGAAGCATCGGGAACATCGCGTAATGTAGCTCAATCAGCGTCGCTTCTCACCGAATCGAATCAAATCGAATAAATTTGTCAGATTCCGTTCTGTCGCTGCAAAGGGTAGCCTAAAGGGAAGTCGGATTGCAGGCCAGAAATCGAAAGTCGCGAGAAGGACGCGAATTGCGCGCAGCAATTCCAAATGTTCGCGTGTCGCGAACTCCTTTCGCTAACAGTCGCCAATGAATTGCGAAAACAATGGTTGTGCAGCGTAGTCTGGCGAATGTATGCCTCGAATGTACGACTTGCGATTTGCAGCGAAGTTTGACGAATGTTTATTCCGTGTTAAAGAGTTTGGCGAATGCTCTTCTGCGGCCGCCGATCGATCGAGCCGTACTACGACTTGCGCGTGTCACCACTCGCTGAGTCGCGGCAACGGGATGCCCAACAGCTAAATACGACGACCGAACCGCGCAATAGAGCAGTTATGACGAAGGTGTAACCTACGGCATTCCGCGAAGGGAAACTGGGAGGAAGTGCACTCAACTCGGCTCGATAAGGCGAGGAGAACGCGAGCAACGACTGTTGAGCTGGCATTGACCCTGCAGAAGATGGTCGTCGCCTTCTGCAAGGGACGCGAAATTCTACCGAAGCGGAAATTCGCAGAGGACAGGGCGGAGCTCTGCACTGCAGCAGAAGTACTTCGCAGAAGCGGAAACCAAGTCCTGCTGCAGAGGAACGCGAGTCTGCAGAAGAGGGCGAATCTGCAGAGCAGATCGTGGTACTGCAGAGGAAGGCGCGTCCGCAGAGTTTTCGGAGCTGCAGAAGAAGGCGCATCTGCAGAAACGAAATTCTGCAGAGGATCACAATTTCGACCGGCGAACCCTTCCGACGCGAAAACGCGATCGTTTCGGAACTTTTGCGTGGGAATTTCGGAACATTGCGGACATTAAGAAATTGACCCCCGGAAACAGTGCGTGAACTTGGGGTGTTCAATCTGGGGCCGAATTGAACCACCTGAGCAAACTGAACCTGGCGCACGTTTTCGTAACTAGGAAAACGTGCGTTACAAAAGCTGTTTAAAAAAACCTGAACAGCTAAAACAACTACTTTTAGGTAGGTAAAAATTACCTACTAAGCACATGTTGTAATTTTCACCTGCCGGCGCTGAGTTGGCAAAGCGCAGCTAAAAGTAGTTATGTAAACGTTCTTGGGCGAACGTTCTCTGAATGGTTCATTGGTTGGGTAGCTTCTATTTCACCCCTTGTTTGTATTCTATCTTTCTACAATTCTAGTGATTTTTCTGTGTGTGCCAAAAATCAATGTCTTCAAGGACTTAGGCAAATTTCTCCTTGGTGAACAACAAAGTTTGCGTGGCTACAGAGAAGCATTTCGTAGAGCTCCCGTTAGAGCAAAAATCTCTGCATGGTGCGGTGAGCGTGGATCGAACATGCATAGAATCTGTTCTTCGACGTTAGGTCTCATTGAACTTAGCTAGTCGACATGGTAGGCTCTGAGGAAAACCTCGAGACGTTCGACAGTTTAAGTGAGCAGGAGGCTGCTTTGATGGCTCGTCATGAAGGCGGAGATCTTACCGACCGAGAGCTCAACTTTATGCTCTTGGGAGCACGAGCTCAATGGGAGATGGACCATCCGCAGACTCGTTCTGAGGAAGACGGGGCATCACAGACTTCTGGAGACGACGAGAACGCTGAAGGACTGGAAGAAGGCGGGATGCAGGAGCCACGAGGTGTTCTAGGACAAGGAGAACAGATGAGCCCTGGAGAAGGCTCGCAACAGAAGGTGGATGCAAGTCCGAAGAAGGCGGCTGGCAAAGGACGCTTGAGCGGTCGAGGATCTGCAATGAAGACTGGTGGAAGCTCGGCGGTTTCTCATCCATCGGCATCGAAAGACGGCGGAATTGCGCCTAATTATGGATACTTCAAATTTTCTCCCGACAAGATCACGGTGACAAAGCCTCTGGAAGGACGTCATGACTTATCCGTGTGGAGAGAGTCCATTGAGCCTCAACTTGAAATCGCGCAGCTGAAGCAGTTCATTGACGGCTCGATCCAGGTTCCACGGCTGAGCGACATTTCGCAGTATACACAATTTCGCTCAGCGCAGCTTCTGACCTTTATGGTGATATCGCGCTGCTGCTCTCCATCCGTGAAGATCGCCTTGAAGTCATGCCGTTTTCGAGTGGACGCGGGCTACCAGGCGTGGCGCTTCATCATGGAGACCTACAAAGCAACGGACTATCTCTATATCGGCCAGCTGGAAAGGAGCTTGGCGATGCTAGAGATGGCGGAGCATGAGACGGCGACGACCTACTGCAATCGTGCGCAGATGATTCTCGCTAATCTGCGAATGGCTGGCGTGAACTATTCGATGGCTTCGTATGTGACTCATGTCCTTACAGGTCTTCCCGCGGAATACAAGTATCTTCGACGGATGCTACAATCCCCGGAAAACTGCAAGACCCTCGACGAAAACACTTTGACGAGCAGAATTATCGCGGAGGAGTGCACGCTCGAGCTCGAAAAGCGGAAGGAATCTCCTCTGCCACAGGCCAACTGGGCGTCTACGGGGCAGCAGCAGCAGCAGCAGCAGCAGCAGAAGCGTTGGTCTTCTTCGACAACTGGTGGTTCTACGGAGCAGAAGTCGTTGAACAAGGAGCAGCAGAAGAAAGGTGGTCAACAGCCGAAATAGAGCTCGAAGAAACCTTGCTGGGTCTGCGGAGAAGTCGGACACTTTGCGTTCCAGTGCGAACAACGTGCCGACAAGAAGAACAATGCTTCCGCGCAGAAGGAGAGTTCTTCGAAGACTGAAGCACAGAGCGACAACTCCAATTCGACCAACAAAAAGGGACCTTCTTGTTCAATGGTGGGACCAGTTGTGGACCAGCTGCAGACGACCGATCTGCTCATTTCACTGAATGCGGAAGATGGTGAGGATTTTCAGGCTATTGCTGCAGCCGTCGAGGCCGATCCTGCAGTTGTTCTTCTCGACAGTGGTTGCTCACATCATCTGATGGGCGACGATGCAGTATTTGTCGAAATGCATGAAGGCGGCGACATAAAACATGTTCGCGAATTCAACGGGGCATTCCAAGACGTGTGTGGTCGCGGAACAATCGCTTTACGCGGTGAAGCTGGGAAGCAGATTCTGATTCCTGATGTGCTCTACGTGCCTGGAATCCATGCGAATCTGTTGTCTGCTGGGCAGCTGAAGGATTGTGGAGTAAAGCTGAAGGATGAAGGTGAAGAGACCCTCCTTCTCTCTACTGATGGGACAGTCCTTGGACGCGCTCGTTATCAAGGACGAGTGCTCAGCACAGATTTCCAGGTGTGGCCGCTGCAGAAATCGGCAGAGGAGGCGATTGCTCTGCGGACCTTGGCGACGGATACACGGGCGAAGATGGTCGTGTGGCATCCTCGACTTGCTCATGCGGGCGTCGACACAATCAAGCAGACAGCGACGCATGGTGCAGCGACAGGCTTGGATATTGACAAATCGGCCAACCCTGATCTACCGTGTGTTTCTTGTGTGGGGGGAAAGCTTATTCGGCATAGTTTCCCTCAAGAGGGGAGTGAAGAGCAGAAGGTGCTGGGAGTAGTGCACATCGATCTCTGCGGGCCCTTCCGAGTTCCTGCGAAAGATGGCAGCCGCTACTTTCTTCTACTCAAGGATCGAAAATCTCGCTACGTCTGGCTCTACCCGATTGCGCAGAAAAGCGATGCTCTGCGCATTTTCCAGAAGTGGCTTCCGCGTGCAGAGAGGCAATGTGAGGCTTCGCTGAAGGCTCTCCGCTCCGATCGAGGTGGCGAATTTTTGGGAAGTAAATTCACCGAGTTCCTCGACGAGAAGGGGATTGAGCACGACCTCACCTGCCCCTATACGCCGCAGCAGAACGGGATGGCGGAACGTGAAATGCGGACTGTCGTCGAAGCAGTTAGGACGATGCTTCTGCACATGGGAGCTCCCCACCATTGGTGGCACCTTGCAGCTCTGCAAGCTGTTTGGGTGAGGAATCGTCTGGAACATTCCTCTCTGCCATCAGGGGTAACTCCTTATGAAGTGCTCTTCAACAAGAAGCCTGACCTTGGGATGGCTAGAGTTTGGGGGTGTATGCTGCAGTACCTCATTCCAGAGAGTCAGCGGGGGGGGAAGTTGGAGCCGAAAGCTCGTTGGGGTCTCCACCTGGGTGTCTCGCAGCAGAGTAAGGGGTGGTTGGTCCTCGATTTGTCGAGCAACCGTTTGATCACCACGGTCGAAGCCATTTTCTACGAGACAATGTCTCTTGCAGAGTGGAAGGCAACGAAGCAGAGTCCCACCGTCGACCGTGCTGCGCTCGACAATGTGGCATCCTTCCAGTCGGATTCTGCGGATGATGACGACGATGATGACGAAGAGACAAGGGTACCAGCCCCACTGCTCGTGCCTACGTCGATTCCTCGACCGCAGCTGCCTCCTGAAAACCCTCAAGTGCAACTCTCACCGTTGCCAGAGACTCCTCCTGCAGAAAACACTTCTCCTGCAGATGACACTCCTTCCGAGGAGCAGGTTCCTTCTGTAGAAGACATTCGCTCTGACTCTTCTTCGCCAGGGGAGCAGCTGTCGACTACCACTTCTTCGACGTTCTTTCCTTCAACTGAAAAATTGGTTCCATTGTCGACGCTCCTTGGCGAAGAGGGGAGCAAATTGCCAATGAAAGTCGTTGCCAATGAGCGTCGAAAAGTCGAACAGCCTGCAGACGAAAAATCCGCAGAAGAGCGATCCGCAGAAGAACAATCGGCATTAGATCGATCTGCAGACGAGCTGCCTGCAGAAGAATATGTCGAAAAAGAAATGCCAGAGTTAGAAGAAATTGCAGAAGAGCAACCTGCAGAAAAAGGACCGGCAGACGAAAATTTCCAGGTTTCTCGCTACGGTCGAAAGATTCAGAAGCCGCTCCGCTTCCGCGAAGGTCTAACGATGTTTACGACGACTTCGCTCGATGGCATGCATGAGGATGTCGTACAGAAAGAGCTCGACTTTGCTGACGAGTGCGTCGTCGACACGGAACATCGTTGGGACATTTCGACCATGACAGTTGCAGAAGCTCTGCAAAGCTGGAAGGGTGAAGCGGTCAAAGCTGCAATGGATGCAGAAATGCAGACTCTCTACGATCAAGAGACTTGGGAGCTGGTTCCTCGTCCGCCTGGGGTTAATGTCATGAAGAATCGATGGGTTTTAACAACGAAGTATAACCCAGACGATACGGTCGACCGAGAGAAGGGTCGACTTGTAGTCAAAGGATACACGCAAACCCCTGACGAATTCGACGCAATTTCTGCCCCCGTCGGAAGCTACGGAACTGCTCGGATGCATATGTCGAACGCAGCTGATGGAAACTTGGAGTTGATCCAACTCGACATGACGAATGCATTTCTGAATGCGAAACTTGATCGTCCTCTCTTCATGGAGCAGCCAGAGTTCTACAACGACGGAACGGGTCGAGTATGCATGCTGAAGAAGAGTCTCTATGGACTGAAGCAGAGTCCGATGTTGTGGTACGAGGCCCTCGACGAAGTGCTGGAAGATGCAGGATGGTCGAAGAGTCAGGTCGACGAAGCTTTCTACTTCCACGAGGACGAGAACCACGACATGTGCTGGGTGCTTGTCTACGTCGGTGCGGTGGTGTGTGTGAATTGCAGATTTCTGCAATTCCTTGTGTGTTTGTTTGTTTGTTTTTTTTTTGCATGTTTGTTTCTGTTTCTGCTCTGGTGTGTGGTGTAGACGGGTCAATGTTCTCTGCGACGACTAAGCAGGATCAATGCAGGGGAGTGTTGAGCTGGCATTGACCCTGCAGAAGATGGTCGTCGCCTTCTGCAAGGGACGCGAAATTCTACCGAAGCGGAAATTCGCAGAGGACAGGGCGGAGCTCTGCACTGCAGCAGAAGTACTTCGCAGAAGCGGAAACCAAGTCCTGCTGCAGAGGAACGCGAGTCTGCAGAAGAGGGCGAATCTGCAGAGCAGATCGTGGTACTGCAGAGGAAGGCGCGTCCGCAGAGTTTTCGGAGCTGCAGAAGAAGGCGCATCTGCAGAAACGAAATTCTGCAGAGGATCACAATTTCGACCGGCGAACCCTTCCGACGCGAAAACGCGATCGTTTCGGAACTTTTGCGTGGGAATTTCGGAACATTGCGGACATTAAGAAATTGACCCCCAGAAACAGTGCGTGAACTTGGGGTGTTCAATCTGGGGCCGAATTGAACCACCTGAGCAAACTGAACCTGGCGCACGTTTTCGTAACTAGGAAAACGTGCGTTACAAAAGCTGTTTAAAACAACCTGAACAGCTAAAACAACTACTTTTAGGTAGGTAAAAATTACCTACTAAGCACATGTTGTAATTTTCACCTGCCGACGCTGAGTTGGCAAAGCGCAGCTAAAAGTAGTTATGTAAACGTTCTTGGGCGAACGTTCTCTGAATGGTTCATTGGTTGGGTAGCTTCTATTTCACCCCTTGTTTGTATTCTATCTTTCTACAATTCTAGTGATTTTTCTGTGTGTGCCAAAAATCAATGTCTTCAAGGACTTAGGCAAATTTCTCCTTGGTGAACAACAAAGTTTGCGTGGCTACAGAGAAGCATTTCGTAGAGCTCCCGTTAGAGCAAAAATCTCTGCACTACGACTTGCGCGTGTCACCACTCGCTGAGTCGCGGCAACGGGATGCCCAACAGCTAAATACGACGACCGAACCGCGCAATAGAGCAGTTATGACGAAGGTGTAACCTACGGCATTCCGCGAAGGGAAACTGGGAGGAAGTGCACTCAACTCGGCTCGATAAGGCGAGGAGAACGCGAGCAACGACAGGGTAGAAAGTAGTAAATCACGCCATGAAGCTTCAGGCTGAAGGGACCAGGGCCCGTCAGAAGCACACAGCCGTTGCTTCAGGAGTGGTCGCGACGCGACAAGGGCTTGCCAGATTTCGTCTGGTGAAACAACAAATTATGTTCTGTCAATAAATTGTGCTATGACTCGCAAGGGGCGCTGTTCTGCAGGCATGTGACCGAGGGGAGGCAAAAGATTTTGATGCACAATCGACCGCCCATTAGGCCCAGCTCAGCCAGAAGCAATTGATAAGAATCAGCGGTCCATTCCACGGTCACGGGCAACGGAACGGCCCACAATTCACGGGCCCACAACGAGCCACACATTCTCTTGACCGCGAGTACGTTACCCCAATTTTACCTCGCAAAACACGTAGAGCCCCGATATTTTGGGACTGTGGTTCAGGTGGAAACCCGAAGTTCAGGTGGGAAAGAGGCATCGCGACAAGTCTGAAGCAAGGCAAATGTGCGGTGCGGGAACGATAAGCGAAAGAAGAACCAAAATTACCAATCCTCACAATCATTGGAAGAAAAACGATATGTGACGACGCAGGTAACCTAGCAGTTCGCGTACAGTCGCCCCCCTAAACCGAAGAGGAGGCGAAGGATTTCGTTTCGCAACTCCAGCCTCGTGTTTCCGTATCATAACACTGTCAAGAGTAGAATTGTACACTTCAAAAACACATAGCTTCATACCCTATAACTCCTCAACAAGACAAAGAACAAAATTACAAGCAAAGGGCAGGAAGATTGGCAAGTCTGCTCGTGAAGAGAAGCATGGTGATTTGCCAACATTCCTGCCCAGATGCTTACTCCAAACTAAGATACTCTAGAACTTCTACCTCAAAAATCCCCAAACACCAGAAGTTGCCAGCCAACAGAACTCTTCCCCAGCTACTCTGTACCCAGCAAGAATCAGAATAGCAGCGTAAAGCCGCCAGCAGCACCGCCATCACATCAAGCAGCGGCGGAGGGCAGTTTGACGCCCATGAGCTGGCCGCCCCACGCCACACCCCCCGCAGTGGCAGTGGCCAGCACGGCATACCCACTCACAGTCGCGTTCATCCCGCCATCCCCCATCATCCCCCCCGCACCCCCAGCGCCTGAGGGACTAGCTGCAGGCGGCTGCGGCGCCCCCTGCTTCGCACCAGTGACGCGGCCCGCTGCGCGCATCAGCAGCTCCCTCCCCATGCGCCTGCTCCCCTGTCCGCTGCGCCCTCCCCCCGCGCCGCTTCCGCCTCCGCTGCCTTTGCCGCGGCCGCCGCCTCGCGTCGCTGGCAGCGTCGCGTTGGGGAGGAGCGCGAGGAGCGCGTCGACGGTGGCGGCGTCCGCGTTCTCGAGGAACGCGTCGAGCCGCGCTTCCGCGTGCAGCAGCCACCAGCCGTCGCGCAGCTGCCAGTCGGACGCCGCCAGCGGAAGCGCGAGGATCGCGGCGGCGGAGGCGGAGGAGTCGCAGACGGCGCCCTTCACGATCGCGAGGGAGTCGGGCGGCCCGCCCGTGGCTCCCACCAGGAGCGCGTCTACCGCCAGGTTGTAATTGCCGCTCGCGTTCCTGGCGGAGGGGGAAGTGGGGAAGCGGGGGGGAAGCGTGGCGGAAGGGTGAAAAGTGGGGGGAGGGATGTGAGTGAAAGGAGGAACGATGGTAACGCGTCCCTGGCTGAAGTGAAAGAAATGAATGCGGCGCAACATCTGCGACGCCGAAGGTAAATTGACAGTGAGAATGCGCGGCGACAATTATAGCCACACGAATATTAGGGTTTCGTTGGCAAAGTCCCGAAGCTCACTTGAAGATGGCGAGGTGAAAGCGGCCGTCGAGAAACGTTGGGTCCGCGGAGCAGTTAGCCAATCGCGCGTTAACGTCCGCCGTCAGATTTCCGACTACCGTCAGATTGAACGGAGGACCGTGCGGACCAGCCTGTCCGCCAGACCCGCCAGGTCCTCCGCGCCCCCCTCCTGGCTGCTGGCCTCCGGGAGGGCCTCCGCCAGGCGGAACACGCTGCGCATCCACGGAGGTCGCAATGAGGAGCGCAATGCAGACGATAAAAAGACTCCTGACTGCCATGGTTTTCAGAATCGGGTAGTAATTTGGTTTCTGAAGAGACGAGAATGAACTAGGTTGGATGCAAGGGGGAAGGCAGAGGAAAGTTTGAGTTGGGAAGAGATTGAACATTGGGAGCAATTTATGTGCAGCAGCCATCTCACATTCCTCGAGTCGGGGAGGGGGTTGACTGGCGAGAGAAAGATTCCCGAGACGCGAGGTGACTGGTCAACAAGGACTGCAAAGGGAAATGTTTCGCGGTTCGTGTCATGATGACGTCTGGTCTGATAACATTTTCGTGGTTTGGGGTGGCGTGTCTGGTTTGGTTTGGGCTTGGTAGTCAGAGCTTTGCCACTCGGTTATGTGACGAACCGGATTTCTAGCAGGTTAGGTCTGGTATGAAAAGACATACCGACAAGGCGTTGAAATTCTGCGACGGGATTCGAGGTGGGTCAACGAGAACCAAACCAGCCAAGGTCTGTACTAGAACTGCAGTCAGCGGGTGTGCGTTGCGATAAGGCTGTACGATTATTCCTGATTGTTACGAGTGCAATTGAGTGAATGAGCTAGAATTGCACTATCGAAGAAAGAGTACAAATGAGCGAAGGCATGCGCGAAGAATATATAGCGAAACTACAGTGGTAACGGTAATGGACTGTGGTTGTCGCGTGACGGGCCTGGGACTGAGGTTTGGGAAAGTGTCGAAGTGGAGGCCCGGAGCGCGGGTTACCAGCCGAGCCGTGAGGTTGGGATGCGATGTGCGAAAATGGCGGGCTGGTTGTCGAGGCGAGGATCGCGAGTGGTAACGGTGCTGACTGTGGTGCTACAGTGATGTACGCGTTGAGCAGGGATGCGAAGTAAGGAAAAGCGATTTTCCTTACACTACCCCCCCCCCCCCCCCCCCCCCCCCCCCCCCCCTCCTAAGGAGGTCCTCCCTATGAAAGTGCGTGGACGTCCCTGAAGTTTCGGCTGTGCAGATAGTCGGTGAGAACAGGGTGGTTTCCGATTCTGTCCAGGGGAACCCAATTGTCTTCGGTGGGTGTACGGTCTTTCCAGCGGATCAGGAACTCGATCTTTCGGGCTCCTCGGGGGTCACGAACTCTGTGGCTCAGGATTTTGTCGGGGACGATGATTGGTTCGGTTGGCGGTCGTGCCATGCTGGCTGGGCGATTGCGTGGGAGTTGGCTTGTGGATGGGACGTAGGGGCGAAGCAGGCTAACGTGGAACGAGGGGCTGACGTACCAGTCAGCAGGGAGGAGGAGGTGGGCGGTGACGGGTGTTATCATGTGGCTGATACGAAATGGCCCACAGTATCGGGGGCGGAGTTTGGGTGTGATGGGCAGTCGGAGATTCTGAGTGTCGAGTAAAACTAGGTCGTCGGGCTAGTAAGTGACAGGTCTGCGGTGGCGGTCGGCGTTGCGTTTAGCGATGATGTTCGATCTTTTTATTGCATGTGCTGCCCTGGTCCGTGCTGCTAGTAGAATTTCAGCGAACTGTTGCGCGCGTGGAGCTGGGTTGTCGGGATTCGGGGACATGGGTACTGTTGGGTCTTGTCCGTAATTTAGGTAAAACGGTGACTGTTGGGTCGTGGCGGATGGGGCATTGTTGTATGCGAATTCGATGAGTGGCAGTTGTTGCTCCCACGTGTTTGGATTGTCGTACGTGGCCCTGATGAGTTGCTCCATGGTTTGATTTGTCCGTTCTATCTGTCCGTCTGTTTCGGGGTGATATGATGAGCTAAACTGTAGTCGCGTGCCGAACTGCTGCCACAGGTTCCGCCAGAAGTTGTTGGTAAACTTCGTGTCTCTGTCGCTGATGATTGATGCTGGTATCCCGTGCAGTCGAACGACGGTGGTGATGAAGAGGCGGGCTGTTTCTTCGGCTGTGATTGATTTCTTGCAGGCTACGAAGTGTGCCATTTTCGTCAGTCGATCGACGACGACCAGGATCGCGTCATTCCCACTCGCTCCGGCCGGTAACCCCGTGACGAAGTCCATCGTCACCTGCTGCCAAGCACGCTATGGGGGTGGGATTGGTTGTAACTGTCCCGCCGGCCGCTTCCGGGTTGACTTCATGATCTGGCAAGTGGGACACGATGCCACGTGTCGCTGTACGTCGGTCAACATTTCGGGCCAATAATAATACCGCTGCAGCTGCTGCCATGTTTTCTCTACTCCGAAATGCCCCGAGGTAACTCCATCATGTGCCTCCTGTAACAGTAATTCCCATCGCAGTGTGTACCCTGGTACCCAGATGCGTTCGGTCCCGGCTTTTACATAATAGACTCCCTTGGCTGCTGCAAATTGCTGCGAGTTTCCTCCTGTGAAGAATGGGTCCGTTTGGTATCCGTGGGTAAATAGTCCTGTCAGTAGCGGGCTGGTCTGGGCGAGTAGTATCGCATGGATCTGGGCAGTGGGGCGGGTCAGTGCGTTGGCGATATTCGAGGCTCCTTTTTTATAGGTGACTGTGTAGTGGAAATTCGACTCGAGGAAGTCGAGCCACCGAATCTGTCGTGGGTTGAGGTGGGGCTGTGCACGGAGGTACTGTAGGGATCGATGGTCTGTCCGTACTGCCACGTCTGCGCCGGTCAAGTAGCAGCGCCACACTTTGAACGCATGCACGATCACGAGCATTTCGCGGTCGTGTATCGGGTAATTTCGTTCGGGCGGATGCAGTTTTCGTGATTCGTATGTGATGGGCTGTAGGCCGTTGCCGAAGTCCTGTAACAGTACGGCTCCAATGGCGATGTCGCTTGCGTCTGTAACAACTTCGAAGGGGCGATGTGGGTCAGCGATGCGCAGGACGGGTGGTGAACAAAGGACATTTTTTAGGGCAGAGAAGGCAGCATGCTCTTTCTCCCCCACGTAAAAGCGACCCCCTTGCGTAGCAGATCGGTCAGCGGGGCGGTTAATCGTGCCATGTCGGGGACGAACCGACGAACGTAATTAACGAACCCTAAAAAGCTCTGCAGCTCCGTGATGTTCGTCGGGGGACGCCATGCTTTGACCGTATCCAGCTTCTTGGGGTTGATTTCAACTCCAGCCTCCGAAATAACGTGCCCTAAAAATTCTAGCCTGTCCCGAAAAAACTCGCACTTAGAGCTTTTGGTGAATAGTCGATGCCCCTCTAAGATTTTAAACACTGCTTCGAGATCTACTAAGTGCTGCTGCTTGTCGCGAGTGTAAACGAGGATGTCGTCGAGGTAAACTATCACGCATTTATCTAAGAGTGGCCTAAACGCCTCGTTCATGGTCATCTGAAATGTTGCGGGTGCGTTTGTCAGCCCGAAAGGCATCACCGTGTATTCGAACGACCCGTACCTAGTCCTAAATGCGGTCTTGGCGCAGTCCGACGGTTCGACCCGAATCTGATGGTAACCCCCCCGTAATTCTATTTTCGAAAAGACCCGTGCTGTTCGCAGTTGGTCGATCAGTTCGTCGGCGCGGAGAATGGGGTACCGCGATTTGAGTGTTACCCTGTTAAGCGCTCGGTAATCGATGCACATGCGAAACCCTCCGTCTTTTTTCGGTGTGAACAAGATCGGTGCGGCGAATGGTGACGAGCTCGGTCGTATAAACTGCTTCTCTAACAAATAATCTAACTGCTTCCTCAGTTCGTCGAGCTCGGGCTGTGTCAGCCTGAACTGGCGCTGTACAGCTGGCTGTGCCCCCGGTTCTAATTCGATCCTATGGTCATGCGCCCGCTGAGGTGGCAGCCCTTGCGGTAAGTCGTCTAGAAAAATCCCCGGGTACCGTTTCAACAGTTCATGAAGGTCGGGCGGTAGTGCTGCCAACAGTTTCTGAAAATCGCTCGGCTGCTCCTCTTCTTCCACTAATGCTATATCCACTACATACACGTCAGCTCCAGCGGCGACAACCCGTTTCATCGTGATGGCGTTGACGTGGACCGTTGAAGACTCGGGCGATTGCCAGCGAGGTAGTTCGACCCAGTTACCACTACTTCGCACGGTGCAGCTTCCCGTCGTCCAGTCAATTCGTGGGTTATACCGTCGCAGCCAATCACATCCCAATAAAATATCGTGCCCATCCAGTGTCGTTGCGAGCATTTCCTGTGTAAACCCGAAGTTCCCTCCGCAGCGGACTTTTACTCGCTCCAGCTTTTCCCGTATGGCCAGTGGCGTGCCGTCGACTAAGCGTGCGTCTATCTCAGGTAAGCAACGGTTAAGTGGTAACTGTAGTTTTCGTGCGATTGCGGTATTAACTAAACAGTGACTCGCTCCTCCATCGATAAAAATCTTCACTGCTGCTCCCTGTATTTTCCCGTGGATCAGTACTGGGCAATCCGTCGCTGTACCCTCCTTATTCATCCGAGCCCAATCGATGGCGTGAATCGGTACTGTGACTCGGTGAGGGTCGGTGCGGTTGGGCGAGCAGGCAGTCTCGTCAGTAGTTGGCCCAACTTCTACTGACTGCTGGCGTTTCCCTGCCTCTGAGACTCCCTCCCCTGCTCTGCTCCGCGGCGCCTCAGCTCCTCTGGGCATTCGCTCTTGCGATGGCCCGGCCTGTTGCAAGCAAAGCAGTGCCCCTTAAATGGTGCGGCAGCTGCATTCGCTGCATCGGCGTGTACAGTGGCGTGCTCGGTCGGTCCCCGAGGGCGATGTCCGTAGTAGGACCCCGGTCTCGGTCGGCGTAGAATGTCAATTTTCTCGGCGAGCGCGAGAATCTCGTTGAAATTGGAGAGTCCGCGCAACATGATTTCGTGCGAGATATTCGGCTTCAGCCCTCCGACGTAACGGTCCACCCGCTCCGCTTCGTGCATATAGCCGACCTGCTCGCATAGTGCGAGAAAACCGCTCGTATAATCTTGAACCGACCCGAGTTGCCGCCAAGTGCGCAGTCTCTGACGCGCCGAAATGGAAGCCGCAATCGGCTCGAAGCGCGCCCGAAGCCCTGCGCACCACGCATCCCACGTGTTGTATTGGGCTGTCTCGCAGAACGAACTCCAGGTGGCGGCTGGACCCGTGGGCCCTTCCTCGTGCGACGGTGGCTCGTAGGCGTGTGGCG